GGAGAGAGGGGGGAGAGGGGGGAGAGAGAGAGAAAAGGTAAAAGAGAGGCTCTATGTATTCCCGCCAGCCGAGGTACTCAGCCGGATCGAGGGGAATGAGAGTCTATACAGCGTAGAGAGAGGATCTTGATCAGGAGCAAAAGCAGAAAACTTAACTGATCGAGCAACGATGATCGAATGATGAACTTACGCCCGGCGGCTGCCCTTTTATAGATGACACGCGTGGACGCGTCGGACTTTTGAGGCTATGTCTACATGTTGAACTAATCGATATTGATACAATCTCACCTATTTGATGTATCGAAAACGATCCATTCCTTAGATCGCAGCTGCGTTTTCGTGGCAATATATTTAACCCCCCCCCCCCCCTCCCCCCCAAAAAAAAGGCTCCGCCCGTCCGAAGCAGAGACACTCCAGATTTTTGCGTGTCTAATAGGGTCGCCCGGCAACGGATGCACGAGTCGGCACTCGCAAAAATCTTAGGTAAAATTAATCATCTGTCTTCCAGCGCGAGACGTGGCACTCGCTCCATCTCACTCGCACTCTCTCTCACACCCGTTGTCCTTACGGAAAAATCGACCCACGCGGACCGCGATATCCCGCGAACCGGAGGGCGGATCGTGGAATCCTCCCTTAGATTTTTACGAAAACGCAGCTACAAGCTGAGAAGTGGATCGTATTTGATACATCAAAGAGGTGAGACTGTATCGGTATCCGTTGGTTCAATATGTAAACATAGCTCTAAAAGCCAATTGAGTAATCTGAGGGAACGGGTTTCTTGTGTTAGATATATTATTCTTTTGGTTATAAAATGGCAATGAAAAGTGAAATTGAAGGGAGTTTTCTCATTTCTAGCTTTATCTACTTACATTCTAATTCGTTTGAGGGTATGCTCCGTTGTTTGACAAGGGGAGGCTACCGATTGTCCCCCTCAGATCGGGTTCAAATTTGGCAGAGAGGTAGAATAGGTTAATATAAGAAACCGTATTTTTTTTTAGGTGCCAATGCCCAGCCGTTTTCGAGTTATGAATTTTTGAAGTTGCCGTTTTTGCGTGTCAGCGACGCGCTCAAGTTGAGTCTACTGTGCGCGCACCTTTTAATGTGATCCGAGATATACGAACGTCAAATACGTCCACCGGCCAAGCGGTAGCGTGCTCGCTCACGGCGCAAGGGGTCCGGAGTTCGATTCTTGATCCGAAAATTAATTTTTACAATTGATTATTTTGTTTTTTAATCGCTTCATCACAACAAATTGTAAGTCACTTTGTAAAAGCTAGGATGTGAATAACATTTTTTTCCCCCTTTTTTCTCAAGAAATCATAAAAAAAAAATATTAAAAAATACATAAAAAATAATTAGAATCATAACGTTTACAAGGTGATTTATAATTTTGCTGATTCTATCCCCCCCCCCTCTACTTTCATCGGCATTGATCGTTCTTCAGATTTTGGTTTCTTAGAAATAATTGAAAATAATGACTTTTTCAGGTTTTTTTAAGTTCACATGTTTTGAAGTTCACCATAGTCACCATATATGACATGAGCGACTGTGCATTGACATCAAGGTGATGTTAATGTCATCCACCTCAGAAAATACGTTTATGCCAATGCATAGTCGCTCATGTCATATATTGTGACTATTGTGAACTTCAAAACATGTGAACTTAAAAAAACCTAAAAAAGTCGCTGAAGATAGCGTCGCCCTCGACATTTTAGATACGCCCAAAAGCAGTTCCTTCCATCCTAGGAACAGTGTAAAAAGGGGTGCGTGCAAAACAGGCCATTTCAGGCTTGGGGCGGATACCTTTGAAACTACCCCTATTCATTCACCAAGCAATGCAATTACTTTTTTTTTCAATTTTTTAATATTTTCGCTTTTAGATTAACTAATTGAAGGAAAACAAGCCATCTGTGTTGTTCGAAACGTTTCATGAATATTTTTCAATTACAGAAGAGGAATCAGGAGAATTCTTCATGAACTAGGTTAACTGGTTATCCAATTATGATGGAAAGTCTGCAGTGTTGCACACCGAGATATACACGGGATTTCTGGTTTACTTCAGCAACTACCAAGATAATGGTGATAAAATGTTACCTGGCATGAAGTGAAGGAGAAGAGCTGTGATCGGATAAATGGCAGGACTGTACGTGATATCGGGGCAAGAATATCCTAAGACGCAAACTACTCGATCCGTGACAGATCGTCCTTTTCGTGTGAGGTGGTACGAGAGCCTATGAGCTGAGTCCACAAAAGGTGGCAAAGGAGGCTTATCAGGCAGCTCTGAAACATACCAAAGTCAAAAATGTGAAATGCATGAGAATAGTAATAGAAAGCAATCAGCACTGGTTTTTTTTTTTTTTTTTTTTTTTTTTTTTTTTTTTTTTTTTTGCTGTTAGTGTAACAGGAAAACTTTTCCCATTTTTAAGTTTCTATCTCAAGGGTATTCCAAGAAAGTAAAAGCAAAACGCAAAGCAGAACGCGCATGCTTGGCACCGCTGCGTCTTCCTTATCAAGAACATTAGGGCATTAACATTAGGCTTGTCTATGCTGGCGCATGTGGCACACTGTGAGGAGGAAGATTCAGCACTCGCTCTTGTACTCTTGCTCACAGGCAAGGCTGCAGACAATAACATATATGACAATAACTTGACCATTTCTACGTCAATTTATGATTTCCGTTTCAAAATTGCAATTCTAGAAGTGAGTAGACAATCTGGCCCAAGTCAAACATGTGAAACTTATATTTTTGGCCTGCTATTTTATCCTTGAAAAGTCTGAGCAAAACTCGAGTTCTTTATTTTTTTTGAAAATTTCTAATCGATAAGCTTCCAGCCAGGCCCGATTTGGCAAAGGGCCGATCTACCAAACACACTTGCATAATTTCATGAAACTTAATGAGGTTAAAGTTCATTATATGAAAATTCAGAATGAAACATTAATTTTTTCAATACTTCTGCGATGAACTCAGTATGCGCAGTGTGCTAAGAAATGCATACAGACCGTAAAATCTTATTTTTGGAATTTTGGAGAGAAAAATATTATCATGAGTCAAATGCTGAGCCTTTGCTCTCTTGGTTAACCAACCGTCACTAGGAATGTGGCAACCCTGCTACCCAACGTCATTATGCACTCCTGTTCATCGCGTCCTTCGTTCTTGGGCTTGAATATATAACTCCTTTGGTTTCTTTTTTGCCCCTCCCCTCCTAATATATAATCCTCTTACGTAGAGATTAATATTACTATGCCACAATTCATTACAGGGTGATCCAAAAGTCCCTTCCACCCCCTCTAACTTTTTACCTGATTGAGGAAAAGATTTGAAACATGGGGGAAGTTCCTACGTCAAAGGGAGCTACTTTTTGGCCCCCCTAAAATTTTCAGAGGGACCCCCTTGAGGGGGGGGGGAGCGTTGGGATAAAGGGATATTTGGAATGAGAAAAATTCACTTGCAGTGCACATTCATTTTAATAAGGGTGCACCAGAGGTTATGAAAAATCTAAAAAGAGCTCAGCTGATATGAGACGTATTAATTTTTGCACTTACGGCATTGCCATATTTCAACTCGCCTCCTCAAAAATTAATTCCATTATGAATGGACAACACTAACTGGGAACAACATACAGGTCCAACATTTGTTGCAACGGATGAGGGAAACCCAGAAAAACCTCACCAGACCTCATTCTAATACAAACATCACAAATAGAATTTTCCCGACGAATTTTGACTTGAACTTCAAATTTTGATATCGCTGAAGTCTGAGTCCCGGTCTCACAATCAGTTTCTTGAATTTGCAAACGGACACAGGTTTTGTTAACAAATCATCCAGTTGATTACCTGTAGGAAACATATTTTGCATCAATTACTCTTTTAACAATCTGCTCCCTATAATATGATATTTATCATCAATGTGTTTTGATCTTTTGTGGCTTTTTTAATTCCTCGCAATACTATTGCATTCTTAGTGATCCGTCTCTCACTTCAAAATTATTTCAGTATTTCCATTTTAACTTTGTCTTGTCGATGGCATTACTGTGCTTATGATAGTTTTTAATTTAAGTGCTCAGAAGTCAAGATTATCATAGAGTTTTCCTCCATTTTACTTTCACATTCTCTTCAGTTTCAAGCACGCGTCACGTCGAGAGTTTGAGTAAGTTTTGTGGACTATACACCAATCGTTTGCTTTTGAGTCCCTTACAAGACTTTTAATTTCCTTAACTCGGTTCCTTTTCCAGAGTTAACTAAACAAGAACAGAGATTCCATCCTATATTCATCCATCTCCACATGGATCTCGACAACACCCTGTTTTCTTCACTAGAGAGCTAGACATCCATTCTCTGAGCTTTAACTTATCTCAGTTGGCGCTCGTGGTTCCTCATGAAGTTCTGATTTTGACTCACAGTCAGATACATCAGTTTTTCTTGCATGAGATCTGATTTTGACTCACAATCAGATGCATCAGTTTTTCATCTCATTCTCTACTTCCACAGAGCACTTCAACACAGGTCTAGGTTCTTTGTCTCATCGACAATTACTATACTCTGAGACAAACATTTTCTCCTCCACATCCCACACTTTATATACATTTGTGGAATGCCTCATATAATTTTACTGCAATGAACATTACACAAGCTTTATCTATTATGGCTTTCACCATTCGCTTAGTGATGCCATTTTACTGCTGGGTTCGTGGATTTTTGGTGACTCAAACAAAGCGTGATACCTTCCTGGACACAAACTGTTCAGTTTTGTTTTAAATTTCATTTCTATCAGAAACACAGTATAGAAGAAAACATGCCCAATTCAAACAAAAAAAAAATGCTGAGATTCTCGCAATGTAATTTTCGCGACCAGATTTGGACGTCACACGTCGTCACGAAAAGACCACTCAAGATATCAATAAATATAAGTTTCTTTGTACAGGTCAATTTCAAATTCCTTGAGCCTTTTAGGTATCTTAACACCCTTATTTAAGTATTGCCACAAGATCTTATTGTTCTTGCTTGTACATCTGCATAAAATACTTATTGCAGCGCACCAATCTGGTCTTGTGCATATCATTATGTACATCAAACACCCAATGAGGTTCTGAGAGGGTGCGTCGTTCCCTTCAACTGAATTAAGTTCTACAAAATCTAATTTACTTGGAAGTGGACACTACAGTCAGCTATATTAAACTTCAAAGTTAAAATCCCGTTGCTTCTCTCAACTCCAATTCCTAAAAATTCAGCAAAATTTGCAAACTAAAGTGCATTTTAAAAGGCTAAAGTGCTAATTTGTCATGATTTCCAACTTTAAATCGTCAAGGATAGGCAAATTTTACTATTTTTGCAACTCACATAAATTATCATTTCGTGGGATACGTTTTAAAGTACACACATATTCGACGATCTTTCAACTCGATTGTAAATTTTGTTATCTCACTCTGTGTATGGCTCTCACTCTCAAGTCTTTTCCTTGTCGGAATAATGACAAGTAATTTCTCATCAATGTTATAAATCTGAAAAGGCTTACCACAAAAGACAACGATACTTCCCTTAAAAATGTTGTCTTCTATTTTGACGAGAATATCTTTCATTATCAGCTTTCTAACTTTTGGTATTGATAACCAATTTTATGGTAATTCAGAGCAGAACCAAACGTCTTTCAAAATAGTTTTGAGACCAGACTCCATGACAGATGTTTATCCAGCCATTTATGTCTTCTCAGTTGTTTTCGTCATTCTCCGTCTTATATTTTTGCATTCACTATCCGGGATCAGCAAACTCAAAAAAAAAAAAACGTCGCTCATCTAATTTTCTGTTACTAATATTACTAGAATGCTCTTCAATCCCAGCACAAGTTGAACTTTTCACTTTCTGTATCGCCAAGCATCGACTGTTTTCTCAATCGCTTATTGCAGGAATTCATGTGGCGATGATTTACCTTTCAATCATCTAAACATTCACATCCATCACATTTTCTTGATTAACAGAATTTCTGAATTCTAACCTTCCAGACACTGCGTTTTTCCCCGTCAAAGGCCTCTATAATATTTTACGGATTTTAGGTCCATTTTAAGAGTACGGGCGAAATACTTTACACTAGTAAGTATTAGTAAGTATTATAAGAAATACACTGGGCCCATAACCCGTTGGGATAAAGGGATATTTGGAATGAGAACAATTCACTTGCAGTGCACATTCATTTTAATAAGGGTGCACCAGAGGTTATGAAAAATCTAAAAAGAGCTCAGCTGATTTGAGACGTATTAATTTTTGCTCTTACGGCATTTCCATATTTCAACTGAAAGGACCCTAACTTTTGATTTTCTATCTTGTTAGAGGGGGTGGAAGGGGCTTTTGGATCACCCTGTATAAGCCAATGAAGGGAAAAAAGTAACAATAATAATTCATAGTATTAATTTTATTTTCGATATTACAGAATGATCCAAAACAAAATTGATAATTAATGTGCCATATTTTCAAAATCATTTAGCCAATTCTGTTTATTACTATACAGGGTGTCCGGAAGTTAACGTACTTAACTTTCAGGATCGCTTTTTAGGCTCAAAATAAGACTTTTTTTCCCTATACACATATGCCCGAAAACGCTTCATACGTGAGCTATGCGCTTCTAAAGTTGCCATTTTTTTTCGTTCAAATTAATATAGCTCCTCGTCATTTTTTCATGGGTGGCTGAAACGTTGTATAGAGGGGTATTCTTTAGCGCTCTGTTCATTTTTTGTGTTTTCAAGGACGTGCGTCTTCGAAAAATGACGTCACAAGCGTTCCCGAATTTGAAAATTCCGATAACTTTTTTGGTAGATGATATTTCGAAAAACGGATTGCGGCACGTGAAAGAGCGTAAAAAATCAAGGGGTCGGGGTACAGCACAAAATTTTCCAGAAACGCGTCATTTCGACGCAAAAGAACTTTGAAAAATTTTAAGATTTTCGAAGCTCCTTGCTGTGTAGGCAATTTTTACTGCAAGGATTGAAAAATTGCCTACAGAGGAAGGTGCTTCAAAAATCTCGAAGCTATTGAGACGGCTCTTGACCTTTCCCTCACACTTTTTCCAGGCTTGGGACTGGCCCGAGCATCATCTAACGAAAATCGCGGTTAGGCGGAGATATTTTTGATATCAAATATCCACCGAAAAATCATACTTGGAGGCTTATCGAAAACATCGTTTCAAAGTGTGGTAGTTTCGTAGCATAAGTTTAACAAGTCATGCTTAATAATTACTTGTGAATGCTCGGGGCGGTTTAAAAGGATTTTTTTTTCCTTTTTTTTGTTTTGTT